CATAATCATCATCATCATCATCATCATCATCCTCCTCCTCCTCCTCCTGTAGCGCAAAACATGCAGCGCAAAACAAGAATCCAGTGCAGGGTGCAGCGCTAGCGGCCCGCGTCAGCCGCGGCGTGATGGTGTCTAGGGCTTCTGGTCACCGAGATTATCCGCTGGGTGTTCCTCCTCTCCGAACTCGCTTATCCAGATCTTCTACGGTAGGCCGTGCATGGTTCAGATCAAGAAGGTGATGCGCACCAATCTCCATGCAGCGCCTCGGGACTTGGAATGTGGAAGGGCTCAGGGGGGACTCGCGCTTCAAAAACTCACAGAGCATTGCCAATCAATGTTTAGAACTAATATTGATGTTATTGCTTACACAAGAGACGCATTCACACAGAGCAGATTATTACAAAGATAATGCATTATTACTTTCATCTGGGACAGGAATCCAGAGCAACGGCCGGTCGTTGGAGTGGGCCCGTGGCGCCATAGTGGCCTTCTAGGCGCTCACTTCGAGATTAGGTATGCTCCCAGTTCGAGTGCAACATGGTACCTTGCTGGTTATATCCGCCCGCCTACGTAACTCACAGTGGAGGTGATTACGAAGACCGTCAATCTTGCTTCACAGAACTTTTCGAAGCAGTGCGGCCCACGACGCCGTACAGCACAACCTTACTATTGGGATATTCCAATGCAAAATTATTGCAGCTACGTCCTGGAGAAGGACAGCACGTTTGACAACATGTATTTGTGGCTGATGCAGATCAGAAGTCGACGCGTAAAATACCTGATAGGCAGCCGTTGCTCGAACTATGTATTGCCGCAGACATGACTATTGCAAACACGTTGTTCGATACACCTGCCAACCAACGCAGCACATATTGGAACCGCAGTGCTGAACCCATGGACTCGAACATCACGCCAAATAAGTTTCTCATATCGATAACGTGTTATGTCCTGTGTCAGTGATCTCTTGGATCACACGTTGCAGAACATATTGAGCAGAAGCATTTCGCAGCCAACATTATCTGACCACCCTTAATATTGCTCTACATGTTCAAACAAAGTATCCTTGCCAACGGCATCGCTTCGACGCTTCGTCGAAGCAGTAGCCAAAGATTGAGGATACTCTTATTTGTAGATTCTACGACGCATGGTAAGCAACACCAATGTTACATGCTACGTTGGACGAGCTGGCCAATCGCGTTGAACATGTTTTTGCGACTGCGACCTCCACCTTGCGGGCCAGACAACAGCCGTCATACCAGCCATGGGTCTCTCAGACTACTTTGGATTTTATCGAAATTTGGAAAACGCGAGACATTCTGGCGACGCTGATCGCGAACACATTTTAAGCAAGCTGATTCGGAAAAGTGCCCAGGCTGATCGTACACATTGGATAAGTATTACACTTGTTGCTGGCAACTGGGGCGCCGCCTAGAAAACTCCAGAAGAAACCTCAAACGAAGTATGCTGGAGTGCGGAATCTTAACAACCACCTTGCTGATGCCGCTGGACGCCCAGCCAATTTGGCAGATTCGCTTGACAAAGTTAAATGGCAAGTTCAATACGCGCATTTGATGCCTACCGCTACTGGCGCGCTTGGTGCAGACCTCCCAGTGGAAGTGGGAAGTTGTATTGTGACAGAATTACAGTTTGTCCTGAGACGAATGAAGAATGGCAAAGCGGCCGGGCCGGACGACGTACTGCCAGATTTCTGGAAAGTCGTGGCTCGACGTGCACGCGCCTTCGAAGCCTTTTCTAGTGTGTCAGACATGTTGGGGGACCACAGACATACCGAACGCATGGCGGAAGGCGAGCGTCGCATTGTTGCTCAAAAAAGGGAATACGGAAGTACCTAGCGATGTCCGGCCAATCTCTTTATTTTCCGTTGGGTACAAAGTTTGGACGGCCATGCTTCAGTAGCGACTTCTTCGATGCGGGATCTCTACGGAACTCACAATTCGGATTCCGGCCTCGTCGGAGGCCGGCCGACGCGCTCATGCCGGCGCGGCGCATGATCGACGCAGTTGTGTTGAACAACAGTGGAGGTATTGTTTTTACTCTTGCTTGAGTGGGCGAAAGCATTCGACCGATTGAAGCCATAATGTTTGTGGTCTTCTCTGGCACGCCTTGGATTACCACACCTTCTCGTAGACATGGTCAGAGGCATCGATCCATACCATTCCTTCACCATTGCCGACCATTGGAAATTCTTCTGCACGTCTGCAGGCTGCTGGCATCGCGCAAGGTCATCCTCTTTTACCACGTTCATTTGTAGTGCAGACGGTGACGCTGGCATACGCGTTCTCGGGCTGAGTGAACTGGTAGCCCGGGATATCTTCTAAACGGACGACAGTGCTGGTATCTCAGGACGTGGAGAGTATAAAAAGGCAGCTGGGCGCCATTATTTTGGAAGGTCGAAAATACGGTCTGGAGTTTCAAGCTGTGATAAGCCAATGTAACTTCAAATCTCTACTATTAACTAAGTGACAAGGCCGGGCTGCGAGCCGATCAAAGTTGTTACAGAAGCCGTGTATCTGGAAGGACTGATTATGCATGATGGATGGGTGGGCAATGAATTGGCCAGGCGTTTGGGGATTAGCATACCAATACTTCACAAGTATGTAAAGCTTGGACGCGCTCGTCCATCTGCAGACTACGGAAGTGGTTGATATACGCATTTCGCGTCTTCAGCTAATTGTTGTTTTCGTTGAATTCTTTGTGGGTCAAACGAACAAATGCAGAGTTGACGCTTTCCATTGCAGATGCTTGCTGAAAAACATGGCGATTGCACCGCCATGCTTTTCGAGGGTATCCAATACCGCTGCGTCGGAAAAGGCGGGTTCCAAGCTTCTGTCCGCCATCTCGAGTGACCGCGAAGTCCAATTTTACAGAACTGTTTCCTCGCAGAACGACGCGTCATCAGTTCATCAGTGAGTGTGCGATGCCACCAGCGGCCCCAGACATTTGTCTTTTGAGCGTAGACGCCAGGGTCGTCCTAGGCAGTTGTGGGCACGCAGTGTGTGCTCTATGGCACGCGAGTATACTGACCTGTCCTTTCATTTTGCCCTCCCTCTTCTCCCCTCCTCCCTTTACCGCCTCCCATGACCCACCCCCGGTCTGTAGTTTAGACGCACGTCATGCTATCGCTTTTGATTGCCATGCGTGCAATCGTGCCCGCGCGCTTTTCTGGCGCAAGGCTGCACTCTGTCGGCGTAATTTTGCCCCGTCGTCGGGCCCCATGGTGGAATGGCCTGGGAGCTTCGGGAAGGCCCCCCGGAAGCCAGGAGGGCCTCCACGAGGCCCCCCCCCCTTCGCGTCATATGTTTCGTTTTTCCTCGAGGGGCCCCCGGACGCCCCGACCATTTTCATTTTTTTGTCCCGAGCCGTTCTCTGCTTGGGAAGGCCGCCCTCCCCCACGATGCTCGGAGGGTCAGCCCTTCCTCTTCCTGCTGCTGCTCCTCATCCTCCTCATCCTCCTCCTGCTGCTGCTCCTCCTGCTGCTGCTCCTCCTGCTGCTGCTGCTCCTCCTCCTGCTCCTGCTGCTCCTCCTGGGCCCGCGGGCGCGGCCCCCGGGCCGCGGCCCGCCGGATCTGGGGCGGTTCTCTCTTCGCCGCTGCCCTGCGCGGAGCGCCTCCGCACGGCCACGCGTCCGCGGAGTCGCGCCCCGGAATCTAGATTCGGGGGCGGAAAAGAGGGGGGTGATGACTAGGGGGTGGTGGATATCATGGCGGGGGCCATGATATTTCCTAGATTTTACGGCGCCTCTTCTTATTTCATTACGTCCCTGGCCCCCCCGCTGGGCCGCGCACATGCCGCTGGTCATGATTTCCACCCCCCCCTCTTGGACACCCCCCTCTTGGCCGCTCCCGATAGATTTAAGTCGGGCCTGTCCCTCTACAGGAGGACTATTCAAGAATAGTCCCGAAATAGTCTGGGGGCGATGTTCCGACCACTTGTGGATGATTTTTGAAGTTTGTTCGACCATGTTGTGTCGTCCGAAATCCACCAGTAGAAGGACATGTCCGACCTATATCTAGACCGCGAGGGCGTGGATGCGTTCGCCGCTCGTTGCAGCATGGCCTTCTAGATCTGATGCTGCACATAGTGCAGCATCGCGTAAAGTCACGACCGGAGCTTTGGACCCCATCCTTCTGCGGCATTTTTCGGGCGGGATCGATCCGTGAGGATCCCAGGGCCCGAAATTGGGCGAAAATGCCCGTTGTCCAGGGCTTCAGGGGAGGAGGTGGAGGAAGAGGAGGAGGAGGAGGAGGAGGAGGAGGACCAGTGTACATTCAAGACTCATCAACACAATGTTGGAAGAAGTCGCCCTCCCTCCAAGCTCACTCTTCATAAGCCCCTACAAGGATTCATTTCCATTGAAGGAAGTGCCCTGTTGGGATACAAGCGTTTGAATATCCTGAATCGTGACGAGTCAACCTGACCGTTGCGTCTTGACGATCCTGAATCGTGGCAGATTTCTGTTCTTGGGACTTCAACCAGCGAATCAACGTAACTGTTGCGCCCTGACACTAAACCTGAGTCGCTCCAAAACACAGTTGATGATACATTAACCGTGAGAGTCAGTGAAATATTTGCAAACTTTAACAACGAATGCGCGCAGCACTAACGCGAGAGCCACATGTTGAAAACCACCCTACCTCCATCTGTGAAATTGTTGCCAGTTGTTCTGCCTCAGGCTCATAAGTGAAATTCTCAAGCGAGACGCCCAGCCCGCCCTTCGACTGGCCCGGGGTGCGACAGGGAGGAGCTGTTCACAAGGAAAAGGAGTGGAGGATGAGGAGGAGGAGGAGGAGCAGCAGCAGGAGGAGGACAAGGAGGAGGAGGAGGAGGAGGAGGAGGAGCAGCAGGAGGGGAGGAGGAGGAGGAGGAGGAGGAGGCGGAGGAGGGAGGAGGGAGGAGGACGAGGAGCAGCAGCAGGAGGATGGGGTGAGGATTGATACCTTCGCCGCTCATGCGCACCCGCGCGCGCGCGCCGCCCACAGGAGGCCCGCGCTTCCCGCGCTCCCAGGGCGGAGGGCCGCGGCCCCGGCGGCTCGGCGGCGCCCGCCGCGGCCGCGCCCGCCGCGGCTGCGCGGGCGAGCGTGGGGGCGCAGGCCGACCTGGGCGCCAGCGGCCCGGAGGCGCCCTCAGGGCTTGACGTCGTCGTCGTCGTCGTCGTCGTCGTCGTCGTCGTCGTCGTCGTCGTCGTCGTCGTCGTCGTCGTCGTCGTCGTCGTCGTCGTCGTCACCGCCGCGGCCCGGAGGCGCCGGGAGGGCCCGACGGCGTGCCGCCGCTCGACTTGCCCCGAGGTCCGGGCGCTGCAGCGTGTCGCACGGGGCGTTTTTTTTGCCGAGCTTCGGGCCCCAGGGCACAGCTCGGTCGGGTTCGAAGCCTGGCGCAGAAAGATGGGGTCTGGAGCTCCGGTCGTGGAGTGTCGTGACGTTGCATTCATTCTACGTCGTCGGACCTTGGGGCTTCGTTCTGCGCAGAGACAAGCCCCCCAGCCGGGACTGCCTGGGGGTGTTGTCTGTGCGCAACTCGAAACTTCACCATGTTGGGATGAGCGCAGATAAGTCGAGGTAGATCCAGATGATTACAGGTAAATCTCGAAGGCCTAGAACTTGGCACCATCACCAGCATCGGCGGTTGCGTTCACCGAGGGAGGATGATCATCTCAGCGATGGTGGTAAGATTCGGGCTTTTGTCTTTATAGTCATCCTAAGATGGGTTTCTTGTTATTCCCCATATCCTAAGTATGGAGTTCTTGTTATTGGCGGACCGCGCCGGAAGAACAGTCAGTCAGTCAGAACACCTCACCTCACCTCCCTCACTCAGACTCACTCAGACTCACTCAGACTCACTCATCACTCTGACTCACTTATCAGTCAGACTCACTCATCACTCAGACTCACTCATCATCACTCAGACTCACTCAGACTCGTTCTGAGTGATGACTGAGTGGGGTTCTTGTTCCCCATATCCTAAGACTCAGTCATCTCTCAGACTTACTCATCACTCAGACTCACTCGTCAACCAGACCCACTCATCACTCAGACTCACTCACCACTCAGACTCCCTCATGCTCAGTTTTTTCACTCAGAGTTTGTCATCACTTAGACGGCCCCGAGAATAACTCATCACTCAGACTCGGTCCACTCATCAGATGACTCACACACACACTGATGTTGAGGATGTCTCAGGCGATTCTGCGGCTTCAGCACTCCTAAGGGGGGCGGCGGGGGGTGGTTTCACGGGGTCCCGTTCGCGGAATTTTGTGGGGATGTCTCAGGCGGTTTTGGTTTTTTCTCCTTCAACATGTTTCGCTTTCGGAGCAGATTTGGAGGATGTCTCAGGCGATTCGCTGGTTTCAGCACTTAAGGGGGGTGGCGGGGGGTGGTTTCACGGGGTGCCGTTCGCGGAATTTTGTGGGGATGTCTCAGGCGGTTTGGCCATTTTCTCTTCCAACATGTTTCGTTTTCGGAGCAGATTTGGAGGGAAGGAGGAGGAGGCAGGAGGAAGAGGAGGAGGAGGAGGAGGAGGAGGAGGAGGAGAGGAGGAAGAGGAGGAGGAGGAGGAGGAAGAGTTATTGGCGGACCGCGCCGGAGGAACAGAGAGAGAACAGAACACCACCTCACCTCCTCTCACTCAGACCCACTCACAGGCGATTCTGTTGCTTCAGCACTCCTAAGGGGAGCGGCGGGGGGGTGTTTCACTCGGCCCCTTTCGCAGGATTGTGTGGGGATGTCTCGAGCGGTTTGCCTGTTTTCTGTCCCAACATCCTTCGCTTTCGGAGCAGATTTGGAGGATGTCTCGAGCGAGGCGCTCATTTTCACGTTTCTAAGGGGAGCGGCGGGGGGGTGTTTCACTGGGCCCCTTTCGCAGGATTTAGTGGGGATGTCTCGAGCGGTTTGCCTGTTTCTGTGCCAACATCCTTCGCTTTCGGAGCAGATTTGGAGGATGTCTCGAGCGAGGCGCTCATTTTCACCCCCCAGGTGGGCCAGATTTTGAGGATGTCTCGATCGGTTTGCTTGTTTTGGTGGCCAGGCTCGTGGGCGCAGATTCTTCTCAGGATGCCACAGGAGGCTCCAACAGGCTCCAGGAGGCCCCAGGAGACCACATGAGGTCCCAGGAGGCATCATGAGGCCACAGAAAGACTCAAGAGGCCACAGGATGTCCCAAGAGGCTCCAGGAGGCCCCAGGAAGCTCCAGAAGGCCTCAGGAAACCACAGGAGGCCCCAGGAGGCAACAGGAAGCGCCAGGAGGCCTCGGAAGGCAACAGGAGGCCCCGAGAGGTCACAGGAGCAGGAGGCCTCAGAAGGCAACAGGAGTGGCTCCAATCCCATGTGTTTTACGTATGCTCCTATCGATTGGGCCTCACCTGGAGCACGATTATTTGATGGTTATACGTATGTTTCTATATATTGTCCTTCTCCTGTGTACACAATCCTACATGTTGTACTTATGTTCCTATTTATTGGGCCTCTCCTGGGGCACGAGTCCTTGGTGTTTTACGCGTGTTCCTATAGATTGCCCTTCTCCTGCGGCTCTAATCCGCAATGTTTTATGTACGTCTGTTGCTATGTATTGCGCCTCTCCTGGGGCACGAAACCTCCCTAGGAGGTCCCAGGAGGCCCCAAGAGGCTCCTGGAGACCCCAGGAAGCCCCAGTAGGTTTCAGGAGGCCCCAGGAGGCCCCAGGCTCATGCACAGAGACGCGCTCGTACTACTGAGGCTCATTCACACTCCAATTCATTCGCAGTTAGATTTATGTCCAGACCGTCACAACTGAAGCCCGTTTATGTTCGAAAGTTCTTGCGCCTAGACATTCACGGCGGACAGGTCCATGCGAATAGATGCACATATGGGGAGCTCCACGCAGTGAATAATTACGTGGACGCCTCCCACTTCTTCCTCCTCTTCTTCTCCTCCTCATCCTCCTCATACCCAGACTTTCTCATACACAGACTTGTGCATACCCAAGCCTAATCATACTCAGACTTCTTCACGACACAGTGAGCTCACACCCACTCAAATCCATACCCAGTCATAGTCATACCCACTCCCACTCGTACTCGTGTACATTATTTGCGGTACAGCTCGTTTTCTCCAACTTGGACTTACTCATGCTCAGATATATTCATACCCCGACCTACTCATACACAAACTTACTAATACTCAGACCTACTCATACCCATACTTACTCATACTCAGACTCGTCCCCAGACGTATTCATGCATATACTTACTCCTACTCAGACCTACTCATACTCAGAACTTCTCATTGTCTGGTTTACCCAACACGCAGCAGATTGTCAGGATGTCTCAAGCGGGACGCTGGTTGCAGCACCTCCAATGGAGAGCCGCCAGGGGTGTTTTCACGGTCCCGTTCGCAGCGATGTTGTGGGGATGTCTCAGGCGGTTTGCTTGTTTTCTGTTTCAACATCCTTGGCTATCAGGGCAGTGTTCGAGGATGTCTCAGGCGGGGCGCTGGTTTCAGCACCCCCAAGGGGAGTTGCCAGGGGTGGTTTCACGGTCCCGTTCGCAGCAATTTTGTGGGGAAGTCTCAAGCGGTTTGCTTCTTTTCTGTCTCAACAGCTTCGGCTACCTGAGCAGATTCTGAGGATGTCTCAGGCGGGGCGCTGGTTTCAGCACCCCCAAGGGGAGCTGCCAGGGGTGTTTGCACAGTCCCGGTCGCAGCAAGTTAGTGGGGATGTCTCAGGCGGTTTGCTTGTTTTCTGGCTCAACATCCTTGGCTATCAGAGCAGATTCTGAGGATGTCTCAGGCGGGGCGCTGGTTTCAGAACCCCCAAGAGGAGCCGCCAGGGGTTTTTTCACGGCCCCGTTCGCAACAATGTTGTGGGGATGTCTCAAGCGGTTTGCTTCTTTTCTGTCTCAGCATCTTTGGCTATCCGAGCAGATTCTGAGGATGTCTCAGGCGGGGCGCTGGTTTCAGCACCCCCAGGGGGAGCCGCCAGGGGTGTGTTCACGGTCCCGTTCGCGTTGCTGGATGTCTCGAGTGAGGCGCTCATTCCCCCCCCCAGGTGGGCCAGATTTTGAGGATGCCTCGATCGGTTTGCCTGTTTTGGTGGCCAGACTTGTGGGCACAGATTCCCCGCAGGATGCCACAGGAGGCCCCAGGAGGCCACATGAGGTCCCAGGAGGCATCAGGAGGCAACAGAACGACGCAAGAGGCCACAAGATGTCGCAAGAGGCTCCAGGAGGCCCCCGGACACTCCAGGAGGCCTCAGGAAGCCACAGGAGGCCCCAGGAGGCCGCATGAAGCGCCAGGAGGCTTCGGAAGGCAACAGGAGACCCCGAGAGGCCCCACGAGCAGGAGGCCTCAGAAGGCAACAGGAGTGGCTCCAATCCCATGTGTTTTACGTATGCTCCTATAGATTGGGCCTCACTTGGAGCACGAATATTTGATGTTATGCGTATGTTCCTATAGATTGTCCTTCTCCTGTGTACACAATCCTAAATGCTTTATTCATGTTCCTATGGATTGGGCCTCTCCTGGGGCAGGAGTCCTTCGTGTTTTATACTGTTCCTACAGATTGTCTTTCTCTGTGGCTCCAATCCGCAATGTTTTATGTACGTCTGTTGCTATAGATTGGGCCTCTCTTGGGGCACGAATCCTCCCTAGGAGGTACCAGGAGGCCGCAAGAGGCCCTCAGATGCTCCTGGAGGCCTCAGGAACCCCCCGTAGGTTTCAGGAGGTCCCAGGCCCATGCGCAGAGACGCGCTCGTACTACTGAGGCTCATTCACACCCCAATTCATTCGCAGTTAAACCCTAACCAGACCGTCACGACTCAAGCCCGTTTATATTCGAAAGTTCTTGCGCCTAGACACTCACGGCGGACAGGTCCATGCGAATAGATGCACATATGGGGAGCTCCACGCAGTGAATAATTAGGTGCCCGACATCATCATCAGCACCAGCATCCAGGAGCGCCTTTCCCCTGTGGAGGTGTCCCTTTCTGTTGGTGCTGGTGCCAATTTCCAGGCCCATGCCGGCAAACCCAAGTATATCAAAAGGGAGAAGAACTGCAAATTCAGGAAACGCAGCCCTCACCAGAAACGCGGGCATTGATCCTGGGTAGCGGCGTCCGACACCAGGAAAGGGCCTTGCGCCCGTTAAAAGCAAACCTGGGCCCTTCAGATGCAAAGGGGGTTACTTTGCTGCCCCCACACGGGTGACCTAGTTCTTCTCTGCACCGTTGACGTCGTCGTCGCCGCAGTCGCCGTCGCCGTCGCCGCTGTCAGCGCCGCCGCCTACGTCGTCGTCGTCGTCGTCGTCGTCGTCGCCGTCGCCGTCGTCGTCGTCGCCGTCGTCGCTGCCGCGCCGCCGCCGTCGTCGTCGTCGTCATCTTCGTCGTCGATGTCACCGCTGCCGCCGCCGCCGCCTCCGTCGTTGTCGTCGTCGTCGTCGTCGTCGCCGCCGCCGTCGTCGTCGTCGTCGTCGTCGTCGTCGTCGCTGTAGTCGTCGCTGTAGTCGTCGTCGTCGTCGTCGTCGTCGTCGTCGTCGTCGTCGTTGCCGTCGTCGTCGTCGTCGCCGTCGTCGTCGCCCCCGCTGCGGCCGCCGCCGCCGCCACCGCCGCCGCCGTCGTCGTCGTCGTCGTCGTCGTCGCTGTCGTCGTCGTCGTCGTCGTCGTCGTCGTGGTCGTGGTCGTCGTCGTCGTCACCACTGCTGCCGCCGCCGCCGCCTCTCTCGTCGTCGTCGTTGTCGTCGCCGTCGTCGTCGTCGTCGTCGTCATCACCGCTGCCGCCGCCGTCGTTGTAGTCGTCATCGCCGTCGTGATAGTCGTCGTCGTTGTCTTCGTCGTCGTCGTCGTAGTCGTCGCTGTCGTCGTCGTCGCCGTCGTAGATCGGCGGCGAGGAAGGGGGGAAGTGAGAAGGAAAAGGCCTTCCTCGCGCCTTCTCGGAGGTTTACTGCGTCTTCGGGGAAGGCTTCTAGAAAACGCTTCAGAAGGCCAGGAGACTTCGATCCTTCTCAGAAGGCCCGCCCCTTCTCACTTCCCCCTAGGCTCGCCGCCGAGAAGAGTAGCACTGTTTCCGCAAAGAGCGCTGCCGCCGAACAAGACGAATATATTATATTTTCCGCCGTATGCGTCGCAACGTGGCCAGTAAAGTAGTAAGTTTGCTTCGCCCCCTTTCGTTGCCACTGAATGGCCCGACTTGGATCATATGGTGTCCGCTCCCCTGGCGTTGCCACGTGAAGAGTAGAATGCAGTAACATGATCCTCGCCTGCTGTCGAATCGCTCGTTTGATCTGGAGAAGCACCGTCGCCTGCAGTGATTTGGCTCAGGCATGCGGCAGCGGGCCTTCGAGGTGGCGGCGAACGGAGCGTTTGCCTACTTACCCCGCTGCCCCACGCAGCCGCCTTGCCCCGGGGTCACGCTGTGTCTTCGCGTGCGGATCGGCGTCTTTGCGAGTGGCCTGTTAGTCGGGGTGCTGGCCATTCAGACTGCTGGGGTCCTCATCGGGCGGACCTTCCGGAGTATGCCCTGCGAGTCGGGGATTTCTCCGCGTGGCCACCGCCTGTGGCAAGCCGGCGCCCTGGAACCTCCGCGGGCGGTGGAAACGTGGAGACTTCCTCTGGCCACACGGGGCCCGCAGAGGTCCACATCCACCGCCCGCCGAGGTCCCCGAAGATCGATTCCCTGGGCGGTGGTTGTGGATCATGAGCAGTTCGGTTTCTGCTGTGCAGGAAGGGAGTTGCAAGGGCCAGCGAGCACCGCGCGCCTGACTGTAAGCGGCAGCAGATGCCAATGGAGTGCCCCACGGACCCTCACTGTTTCACTTGGCATCGCAGGGCGCCGCTGCATTGCATCGAGGGGTCGCGGTGGACAAATCTGACTCCAGATTACGATGTTGTGGCCCTCGATCTCTCCCAGGGGCGTCACAGGGTGCTGGACAGACGGCAGCCCTCACCAGGATACATCGCCAATCAGTGCCACGCGTTCGATCCAGTCGACAATTTCGAGCTGCACAATTTGCAGCGAGAGGCGAGGCAGTGAACCATGATTCTGGTCGCTGACGTTGGCTCGTGGCGCGGACGATGATCGAACGCGGGTGGTCACGGACCCTTCGGGCGCTCGTTTTGGCGCGCAGATCGAGGATGATCTCATTGAGAATGAAGACCCAGCGGCAGCGTTGAACTCGCGTGGCGTGGTCAGGCCCAGTGACGCGGATTGGTTTTTTGTGGTAGTGGACCGCGGCAAGCTGGAGGAATGCAAAGCCAGCCGCTCGTCGGGGGCCGGTGAGGCTGGTGATCGTAGGGTTCTGGACTCGTCGGCGCTTCCAGGTCGCAGCGGGGGTGGGTCTTCATCGACAGTGTCCTTCAGCCCCAGAAGGAGGAGAAGCTAGGGCGTTTCGACGGATCTCGCGCAGCGATCGCGTTTCTTGAGCAGGCGCGAAATGACGCCGGGAACCTGCCGTCGCATCATTCAGAGCAGGCTCGATTGAGTGGAACCCATGAAGGCGGCGCGCGCGCGTGATCTCAAGTACTCGCGTGATGTGGTGCGCCCCGCTGCAACGACGGACAGGCTGGGCGCTGCCAGCCTTGTCAGCGCGGGCATGCAGCGCGGCGTCTCGCGAACGCGGAGTTGGCGGCGGGGCAGGGCCCGAGGCGCCCTGACCGCAGTGGCTTGGGCGCCGTCGAGGGTGGAGCGGTCGCTGCGCGGGGCGCGGCCAGGACGGCGGGCCCCCGCGAGCACTCGTCGGAGCGGCAGATGGAGAGGGCCGACGTTTTGAAGTAGGAACGCCTCTACCGTTGCAAGGTGGACCTGAGGCGAAAGGGTCGGGCCGATGTTGGTATGTTGTCATAAAGTTATAAAGTTCTGGAGAAGTTTAGCGAAACTGCCGGGCGTCCTGGCTGATGCGTGGCGTTCGGCAACCATCACATTGGAGTTCCATTCTGTTACAAGAATTCGGAGGCAGGGGCAAGGTATTCTGATTTTCAAATGGAGCATCGGTATATCTAACAGAATACTCTAGCGCAGCATGAGTTTAGTTTGACTAGGTTTTCCTCCAATCCATATCTGGGTATTGTTCGAAATAATCGAGCGTTGATGGCGCTTCTTGTCGCGAGAAAAGTCCAGCTCTCACCGCTTGCACATGCGATTTTGCGAGCGCGCCTGGATTTCTCGAATTTCACTCGCCAGCAATCGTAGTTTCAATTTTTAGACCTGCGTTTGAACGTGACCTTATTGTCTGAAACCTTCGGATTCCTGGCTGATTTCTTGAGGCGCTGGTCGGGCTTTTCGATGGTCGACTCGTCGCCCCAGGCTTCGCGCGGCAACCCCGCCGCGGGGGGGCGGGGCCAGGAGTCCGAGGGAGAGCAGCGCCGCCAGAAGGGCGGCGACCCAAAGGGGGCGGCAAAGGCAGAGGCGCCGGCTGGAGCTAGCCCAGAAGCGCAGCGAGACGGCGGCGCAGGCCGCAGGCGGTCCTTCGCGCAGGGCGGCGGCGCGTTGGGGGCTTGGCTGGCGCGCGGGGGCCGACGCGCGAAGGTCGTCGTCCGCGCGCGGTCGCGAGTGGGTGAGATCCGTTTCCGGCACTTGAACCTGCAGTTTTGACCCTCGGCCCTCATCGCTCTGCGGCGGGGGCGAGCTATGGCGGCGATTCCCGCGCATATCTGCCTCGCGGCCGCCCATGCCGGCGACTTGAAGCGGGCCCCCGCCCATTCTGGCCCCCCGCGGCCAGCTCGGCGACGCCGCGCCCAGCGCGCGCGGGAGGCGGCGGGCAGGCGCGGGCAGGGGTTGAGCTCCTCAATTTGTTATCACCCTACTAGCACTCTACGGAGAGCGCCGCGACATCTGGCGAGATGCTCGCGCGGCAAGTCGGGCGCTGCGAAGCGGCGCGGCGGCCGAGGGCGCCGCGGGGGCGCCGCCGCCAGTCGCGGCAACGTTTTTTCAGACGCAGCGAGAGGAGCATGAAGCGCAGCGTTGAGATCGCCGAGCGTCTTCAAGCCGCGGGTAGTGGAGTCGGCCGCGCTGCGTCGAGGCCCGCGGGCGCGGGCGCGCCGACTGCGCGCCCTCTTGAGGGCAGAGCTCTGCCCCGCGCGACGGAGGGTCGAAGCGCGGGTTTCGCGCTTTCGTTGCGCACGCGGCATCACCCGAGTGGCGCGTTACTCGCGGGCGCCTGGCGCCCGCGCGTCAACGGCCGCCCGGGGCCGCGCTGGGGAACGTCGACGCGCTGGCGGGGCTCGACCTGGGCGAATGGAGCCCAGGCCGCGCAGGCGAGGGCGCGCCGGGCGTCGAGGCGGGGCCTCGCGCTTGAATGGCGCCCCCCCCCAATGCTCGGCGAAGGAGGTCGCGGGCCGGCTTGGGCGCGGACGCGCGGCGAAGGGCATGGACTGGAAGGTCGAACGCGCGCTGGGCGACGAGGTGGGGGCGCAGCGGGCCCGGGGGGCAGCTGGGGGCGATCTCCGAGGCGGCGCGCGTCGGCGGGACCTCGCACATTAATCTTTGCGTCGAGGGGCGGAGGCCTGTCTGCGGGGCGCAGATTTAGACGCGGCGAAGGATCGAGCTCCGGCCTCGAGGTTGCGAGCGGGCCGGGGCTTGGCCGGCGCGCATTCGGGCATCGCGACGGCGGTCGCTCCTTTTCCTCCTGTGGGGCTGGGGCGTAATTGAGGGCGGCGCAGTCGGCGGCGGGCGTCGGAGGTTGTCCAGGCGCCCGCTAGAGGCGGAAAAGATAGTAAAGTCGCTGGGCCCGGTGCTGGGCCTGGGGTCGCTCGAGCCGCGGCGCGCGGAGGCCAGGCCGCGGCGGTTCTGGGCCGCGATTCGGGCGCTCGGGATGAGGAGGCACGGCCGAGCTGGCGCGCCATCGACGCGGCGCGGCGGCGAGGCCCGCTAATGTCCGACTTGTAGAATGCACGCCATCGTCTGGACCGTCGCCGAGAGCGCCGGGCTTCCTCCGCCATCGTCTCGAGGGGAGGCGCGGGCCGCGCAGAGCCCGATCTTCCTTGTGCAACGTCGGCCCGGCGATGCCGGCGCCGGCGGCAGTTCGCGCGTTTGACAGTTCGACCGATGGTTGCGGGGGCTGCTGCTTCAGCAAGCCAGGCTCGCGGACTTGCTGGAGGAAATGCGCCGCCGCGGGCGGCGTAGGTTCATGGGGGCCGAGCCCGAACCAGAGCGGGCCTTTGAAGGCCCCGCGCACGCTCCGGGGCTAGCTCTGGGCGTTCGAGGAGGACGGGTCCCAGGGCGCTCTTGGGAAGGAGGTTTTCACGGACCCGGAGGTGATCGGGTCCGCGGCGGGCCAGCCTGCCGGCGCAGGGGCGGAGCGCGCCCGGTGGTTGCGGGAGGCCGTCCAGGTTGGCAAAGCTCCGCGACGCCGTCGTCATCGGCATCGACGGGGCGAGGGGTTGGGCGCCCCCGCCGCGATTCCGCCAGCGGCCCAACGCTAGGCCGATCGGTCGAGTTGGATTTTGGCGACCCGCGGGCAGTGGGCTTGGGGGAGCGCGTCAGTGCGAGGAGTGATCGCGTCGGTCTACGCGGCGTTCGACGCTGCGCGCGGCGTCGGCATCTTCGGGGGCTTCGAAGATTACGTTTGGCGGTCAACTTGGCGACATGCTGTTGCTTGCAAAAGGCTCGAGGGCGCCCGCGGGCAGAGCGCACCGTGCGCCGCGGGCTGCGACCATCAGCAGGGGCGAACTCGCGACCGAGGTGGGGGCGCGTGGACAGTGAGTATTGCGCGGCCAGCGAGGGCCCCAGGGGACATGAAGTCCCGCTGGAGCAGCGGGCGCGTCTCGCAGGGCCTCGTCGGCGCCGCCCTCTGCTCTGCGATTGCCGAAGGGGCGTTTGGAGTTGGGCGCCCATGTCACTGCTGCGCTGTCATCTAGAGAGCGAGGGTGCAAGCTCTCGAGGAGCTAACCAATATTGCGCGCCGTCGGCCCTGGCCGGCGCGCGTTGCCTGCCTCCTGCCTTCCCAGGGGCGCGTTTTCGACGGAATTGTCTTCCTTGTTTCTGGCGCTCCTCATTTGGGCGCCGCATGCGGCCTCGCTAATTCATTCAGTCGGGCCAATCCGCCACGCCGCGTCGGGTTTGCATGCTTTTATTTTGGTCCAAGCCTCCTGGTCGGACTGGCGCGAATCGGGTTCGGCGTTGTTGCGAGTGCCACGCCGGCCCGGCGCGAGGTCGTCGCGCGCCGCGTCGGCGATTATGGTCCATTCGGCGCGTCAACTCACACATTTGGCACGCCTTCTGCTTGCGCATTCCCGCATCCCTCCATTTTCTTTCGCGGGTCTGGGGGCGCGGGCGCCGCGCATTTATTTGATCATGGTGGCCCCGTGAACGCGGGCCCCGTGCAAATCATTCGCGGTCGCGCCCCCGGGGGCGCAAACGCGTCGCGTCGCGTTTGCAGTGGGGTCGTCGCTCCGGCAGCGCTGTTTTTTTTTTCTGTTCAAGATAAAAAAAAATGGCATGGGGCCGCGGCTTCGGGGGCGCGGGCCTCTCGCGACGCGGCAGACGTCGAGGGCCTGGTGGCGCGCGCCCGAGTCGCTCGCAAGGGGCGGTCGCCCTCTTGGCGCGCGGGCCCATTCTACGTTTCAGAGGGCGACCAGAGCCAGGCGTCGCAGCGGACCCCCAAGAGCAGCGATAGGTGGGCGCGGGGCGCCGCAGAGACAAGGCACGGTGGAGGGTCGCGATGGGCGCGGGCGCCCCGCCAGGCAGCTAGCGGATGTAGGCCGCGCCCTTCGAACCGCGCCGGGTTGGCGCGCGTGCGCCAATTCGGGGTTCGCGGCGCCCGCGGGCCGTCGGCGCGAAATGCTCGGAAGCAATTTTGCGCGCGCCCCGAGGTTCGGACCGGGGCCCCGTCTCGGATCAGCCCGCGTTGGCCCCATCGGAAGTGTGAGTCTCGGAGGCCGCATGCGCCCAGTCGCCCAGGCGCCGACCACCCCGCGCGCGCGCGTTGACTCGTAGGAAATGCCGCTGTAGAGGCGCACTTGTCTACCATTGAAGCACAATGGTAGTTTTCGGTGCCATTCGGTTTTGTTTTTCTATTGCAGTGCCCCGGCTATAAC